ATATATAATTTATATATTTAAATATAATAATTATTTATAAATATATAATTTATTAATAATTTTTAATCATATATAATAAATATTTAGCATGTACAATATACATTCTAAAATATTAGTTGATAAAAGAGTTATATTTAATGAAAATAAAATATTTTTATATTTCTTATTTTATCATGAAATTTTTGTTTAATATTTTAAAAAGAATTAAGTTTATTTTCTTTAATATATTCCTTAATTTTTTTTATAACCATATTATCAATATAAAATATCATTGATTTCATCTATGTTTGATCTACATTAATTTTAAAACCTGGTTGGATCATTTTAAATGGAGCTTCCCCTCTTTTTATACACAAATCTTGAATTTAAAATCTTGATTAAGGAAATCGAGTATACTTATTAAAAATATTTTAGAAAAATGTCCTTTAAATCATGTCACTACTAAACTTACCTAACTCAAACAGAATACACATCATATAAGTAAAAAAAAAAAAAAAAAAAAAAAAAAAAAAAAAAAAAAGAATACTTTTAAATATGTGTACATAATAATGGATTGTATTTATTTTTCTTTTGCTTTATTTTTAACACCTTTCCTATTCCTATGATATATAAAATAAAAATTCATCCTATCTATTGCAAATGCTAAATAATAAGACGGTTAAATGAGAATGAATTGAAGAGGGTGAATCGATGCATTAAAGCGTCGATGGCCGGCCTACCTTTCTTTGAAAAGAAAATTAAAAGCATTGTTTCAACTATTACTTTCCTTTATCGAAAAAAAACATTTACTTTCCAAACGTAAAACACAAAATTTTTTAGGAACCTTTTAGGAAAAAGATAAATATTTTTTTATATAAAATAAATAAAAAAATTGGAAAAAAAATCTATTAAATAATCAACTTGTATATAAGTTAATTTTTTTTAAAAAAAATTCATTTTTTAATTTATTTTCTTAATATTACTTTGAAAATATTATTCAAAGTTCGAAAAAGTAAAACTACAAATGAATATTATTTTCTTTTTCTGGACAAAAAGCCACCTACCATAAAATTATTTATTTAATATCCTAGTTATTTTTATTTATGATAATTGAATTCCTGCATACGTGTCAATTCTGTAATTTGGAGATTCGACGAGGCTTATTTTGCTGCCACAGAAAACGGTGGCATATATAAGAAAGTACAAAGCTATGAACGCAGTCATCGCTAAGAGAGTGAGTTTGACACAAACACTGTCACTCCGAGAGGATCTGTATCTCCCAAACCCTTCCCTTTGGTAAGTCTTGTTGCATGTTCCAAACCAAGATTCTCTCTTTTTCGATTCACTTCTAAGCCCTCTCCATTCATAAAAATCACTTTTTTTTTTATTTTAATTCTCTTTTGGGTCGATTTGTGTTTGGCGGCTGTTTTTTCCCCTCGATTCCTTAGATCCTCTCATGATTCTTGTCTCCGAGGAATATATAATTGTGGGTTTGACTTTTAATTTTAATGGGGTCTTTGTGTTTTTTGATTTGGTGGCAGTGGATAAGAGAATGGCTTCAGATCGGAAAGTTCACTCTTTTGAGGAGGTTGCAAAGCACAACCAGACCAAGGATTGCTGGCTTGTCATTTCTGGGAAGGTCTGTTTCGGTTTCTCTTTTCCTTCTTTGGAAGAATTTATGATTTTAGTGCATGTGTTTTTTTGGGTTTTTTTTAGATGAATGGTTCATTGGATTCGTTTGTTGATGGTGGAGTTTGATCTCTTGACGTCATCATGCATGTCTTGTTTGTCCTGCTATATTGAATTACTTGTTTTTTCTGACCATGTGCATTTGTATGATTGTATCTCGTTGGTAATTCCGCGTTTCGTTAGCATTCTAGGGGCAAGGTTTTTGTCGTGTTTGTTGATATTGTGAACACCACCAAAAACTTGAGTTGCAATTTTGAAAACCTTGATTTTTAGTGTGTTTTTGGTGTTAATTGTTTTTAGTGCAGCTGTCCGAATGACAAACTTGACCTTAGAGGCAATTTTAGGGGTCACTTGGTTTGAAAAAATGTTTTCTATTTTCACTTTTATTTAATTAAAATAATGTTACATGATTTTGACTTTATTTGTTTTTTTCAAAAGCTTATGTTGAAAACTGAAAATAGTTTATTATTATTTCCACTGTTGCTTATACAAACTTTCGAAAATGGGAAACGACACGAAAACGAAATGGTCTCTCTGTGATTAAAAAGAAAAAGGAAATGAAGACGCCAACGATTTTCTCAAAAGTAAACTGCCCTTAAATTTTCAAAGGGTTTGTTGGGGTGGAATGTTTCTATATTCAACAACTGAGATGATAACTGAAAAAATTTGTGAGAAAACACCTGAGAGAAGGATCAAGACAATTCTTCTATTTGGATCGGGGTATGAATGAATCTTATGTTACAATATAATCTATTTCTACCTTGGATGATGATAAAAACCCCCCTTTATGCATCTTTATGTGAAGAATAATTTAACATGAAAACACACAAAAGAAGCACTAGCTCAAAATTTCCTTTCAACATCGTGCATATATGTCACTACTATCATTCCTGACTTATAATGAGGGTGGTTTGTTTGGTTTGAATTTGCCATTTTTTAGTCTGTCACTTTTTGATACTTACTGCCTAATCATGTAAACCGTAAAGAGTTTCTCATCCCTCATGCGCATTACTAGTCGGTCAACAGATTTAATCAAGTGTATTACTATGTTAATTATCATATCATACACTGATTTTGAGTGCATGCCTTTGATATTGCATTTGTATATTCACTATGTTGCGGTGCTTTGTCGCTTGAATTCTATTGTTGTGTGAATGATTTGGATTAAAATACTGATTTATGTAAGTTTTTTATGTGATGTGGGATTTGAGAGTAGAAACTTTTTAAATAAGCCTCCTCTTTGTATGGGAGTTTCTTAAAATACTGTGAGGAAGATAGGGACTGTCGTGTAACCCCTCGGAAACACTCCTTTCCTGTGTTAATTTTCATTTTATAAACTCCCCAATTTGGAGGGCTTATGAACACTCTTCTTTTCATCAATTTGATTCCTTCTCCTTTTGTCTCACCTCCCAACTCCCAAACATGAAACATTATTGTGGGAATCTCGAGTATTCTCATGGTTAGCACTTAGCGTCCTTTTTCTATGCAAGTTGTTTATGTTCTTAGTTAAACAGCAAGATGTTAGTCATATATGCTTTGAGGGCTAATCTTCCCTTAGGCACCGAAGGCTATGATAACATCGTTGTTCAGTTGGTGCAATTTGATGTTGCCTTCCTCTTACCCTTTATGCAAGACTTTTGGCTCATGCAATTTGAGTTCTAGTTTTGTTATGATGTTAATATCTGCCACTGAGCAAAATTACGTGCTTCCACAATATTAGGTGTATGATGTCACCCCTTTCATGGAGGATCATCCCGGAGGTGACGAGGTTTTGTTATCTGCAACAGGTATGTTTATAGGACAAAACTTGAATACAATTTCTTACGGATGGTTGATGTTGTTTTTCAGTCATAATTGGGGTTTTACCTTAATTATATGCATAAATGTGTATTGTTGAAATATATGCATTAAAAGTAAATGTATATTAACGAGATGAAGTTTCAATTCTGATAAGAGAATAACATTAACCATACGTAAAAGAACTATATATCTAAGTTTTGTCTGTGTTTATATCATTTGTGAAGATTATTAATGAAAGCATGAAAGGGCAACCATATTGCTTATACTCTATGGATTACAGGGAAAGATGCAACCAATGATTTTGAAGATGTGGGACACAGTGATTCTGCTAGAGACATGATGGAAAAATACTATATTGGTGAGATTGATGCATCAACTGTCCCTGTAAAGAGGACTTATGTTCCACCTCATCAAGCACAGTACAATCCTGACAAGACTTCAGAATTTGTGATCAAGATTTTGCAGTTCCTGGTCCCTCTCCTCATATTGGGCTTGGCCTTTGTTGTCCGGCACTACACCAAGAAAGAGTAGTTCCGCCTTTATCTCATTGGACCCTGGTGAAGGGTCTTTTAGCTATTTATACAGTCTCATTTAAAGGACACTGTTTAGTTTCTTTCTGGGGTCTCAGCATTGAATCTTGATCAGACTATAGTTCAGTTAGCCAATGTTTTCCAACTTTCTTTGACAATGGTATTAGTGTCATTGTGACTTGAGAACCTAATGTTGGACGACAAGTTTCATTTTCTTTTATTCAGAGTCGTTGCTTCTTGAATAATTTCATTCCCCTTTTCTTTATTTATCTCCCTGTTTCCTTCTTGTCCATGCCATTCAGTGTTTAAGTCTTGGTTGATTGCCCTAAAAGGGTGTTGCTACAAGTTCCTATTCGTCAATGGTTTGGAACATAATATAATATGCTTTAAATATGATGGACTGAGTATTGCAATAAAAAATAATTTAAGACAAGTTTGATGTATTTACCAAGGACAATACACAATGAATGAGTTTGATGTGGAACTCTTGAAAAGGGATAGCAAGTCTCATTGTGGTTGCTGAGAACAAATGGCAGACACGTGGAAAGGCTAGATGGACATGATCTTCTTGAAGAAGTTTTTTTTCTCTCTCTTGGTTATAGGTTATATATTTCGGGAGGTTATTTTGTTTAAAAGATAAAGTTCTTTCTAAGTATTTAATGATACTATATATCCACTTGGAATTTAAGGTGTTTGAATACTCTTTTCAAACTTCACGAGAGAAAATTAAAATTAAAATTAAAAAATGAAATAATTTTTATAATTTAAAATTAACTTGTAATTAAGTTAATTTGTGATAAGTTCTCTTATATTAATTTTTCATGATTTTTAAAACTTATTTATTAACGAGTTTTTGTTTATATAAAAAAAATATATTTCATCTTTCCATAGTTCTTTACTTGAACTTATGTCTTTTGGGTAAACCTTTTAAAAAAAATACTTTTAGCAAAAAAATTAAAAATAAATAATAATTTTTTTCTTAAGTTAAAATTAACTTATATATAAGTTAATTTATTGCAAATTAATTCGGTAGCTAAGCAAGCTTTGATGATGCTATCCTATTATCTACGTTGTTAGGTATATGATATCATTCAATGACTTGATGTGTCCAAATGTCAACACTTGAACGTCTAATAGATGATATCATTCATTATTATTTGCTCTATCTTTCTATTTTAATAAATTATATGGCTAATTCTGATGATGTTTCAGGTTATGTGTATTAAATTATAAAGAACTCTTAATTTGATCCGTTGAAGTTAACGTCATTACACTTTTAAAAAAATTGGTAATCAAACCAATCCCTTATATATTTTTACCGCTTATTCAAGATTTTATTATTAAATCACTCCTTCAAAAAATGAATTTGCTGTCATATTAATGTTTGAACTTCTGCTGCTGACATAAGAACATCCCTTTTCATATGTTTGTATATAACCCCGGAAAATTTGTTCATTCTTTAGATATAAAGTCTTGTAATAGTTTTAGGAAGTTCAGTAGTTCATTAACTTCCAGAATAAATTCTACAATTTGGGCTTCATAAAATTATATTTATCGATAAGGATTTGTATAATTTAAGTTAGTTGTTCAAGGTTTAAATTCTACACATGGTTTACAAAAGAAAAATGTTCATAAATTAATTTGATGAAAAAATATTTAGGGAGTAATTCTAATTGATTCACTGTAAAAAAAATTTACACCAACAATGCATAACTATTAAAACTTTTTTCTCAAAATTCTAACAAAAATTTGTAGCGTTTGCAGATTTCTCAAATAAAAAGTAATACTAAAACTTTTGTACATGGAAATTGGATAGGCAATTTGGGTGGGAGTGGGGGGTTGTCTAAAAGCCACAACACGAAAGACGAATATCCATGGGTTGAAAATTTCTGATTGGTGTGATGTTAGAAAAAAGTGATAAAGAAGCTTAGAAGCAACACATGTGATGAGGACTATATTTGTGAAAAACGTTGACAAAAAGAAAAGGCCAAGAAAACGTTTTGGGCATCATAAGAAAGAAAAGAAAAAGGAAGCAAAGAAAGGAGGAAGAGAGGAGAGACACTTGAAAATTGAGAGTGGAGAAATGAATCTTATAGGGACAGGGTGTATGAAGGCTATTGTTAATTTTGACCCAAATTCTTGCTTTCAAAGATCATTAATCATTTTTTTTCTATTTAAGTTGGATTAATCTTTTGATGTGTTAATTTTCTTTTATTGTGCCACATATACAAAAATTAATATTGTTAGTCTGGATTAGATAGAAAGGATTATGTTGAATAGTTTTTTAAAAATTAAGGGACAAAATTAAATATTTTAATAATAAAATAAATTGAATCAATTAAATAAATAAAAAAAGTCACCAAAAAAGTAATAATTTAGCCTTTATAATATCAGCTGAGGGGATGAAATAGTCCAAAGATGTGAAGAAAAAAAATAGGCATCATTATAGCAGGTGATTATTGTCTGAGAAAGGTAGTGAGTGATAATAACTACTTAAATGAGTAGTGAGTGAGAGTAGAGATAATTATATGTAGAAAAATAAATGTCAAAAAAGTAGAAAAAGTAAAGATAATTATATTTTGCCATTCCTCAATGAAGCACTATCAGTTATAAGTTCGAGTACGGTAGAACTGTATCGACCAGTTTGATCTGAATTTTAAAACACTAGTATCAACTATCAAAGAGTCAAAATTTTAAAACTGAATGGAAAACTTGCAAAAACATCTCCATGATTTAATTATTTGTTTTGTGGCATAAGTTTTTATCTTTATGCATTGGCACATCCAAATTCAGATTAAAATGGTATATTGACAGTAATATAAACATGATAGTAAAAGGAAACATAAACATTAATTGGTGGTTGGTTCTCTTGAAGGAAACGAGATTCGGCTTCATGTGTCAGAAACCAACTGCTGTTATCCTCAAAGAAAAATTTAATGCCCTTCAAATGGGGTCTTGCCTATTTGTATGTGATTACCTCTTCATATTATCTAACTATACCTTTCCATTTCATACATACTCTTATTTATTTTAAGTTAACATGATTGATTTTATTATGGTTTATTTTGCCAATATAAGAAGGTTGCAGAAAAATATATACATTAGATGTGTTGAATTTTACTGACTAACTATTTCACCTATGTTAGTTGATAATATACTTTCTTACTTTTTTTCATTATTTATTTTTCAAATATCCTTATGGTGTGTTTGGATGAGGAATTTTACAAATTCAAGGTATTTAAAATTTTTGGTATTTAAATTACTTTGATTTTAATTTCTATCATTCTTAAAATATTTTGTTTGGATAAGTCAATTCAAATTTCTTAAATTTTAAATTGTTGGTTGAATATGATAATTTAATTCCACCATGATAAAATTGATTTTAAAAATATATTTATATGTTGATATTTTTAAATTAAATTTTTAAAAAATAAATTGTACTAACCGTACTTCGCACCCGGGCTCCTAGCCCGGATTAGCGTTGCAAATAAGTAACCCCGAGCACGTAGTGCATGACGTCAGCTCGGCATTTGAGCGAATCATACCTGATTCCGAGGATCTCGTCCCAGACCAGATCTGCCCTTCAATTATATCATATCATATCATGATATATCTTATCTCAAGCCCAAAAGCCCAAGGCAAACCTAGATCACCTCAAGGTACGTGCATTATATATATGAGACTATTACTCATGCAAACCCTAACTTTAGCATCGGAGTCTCTTTTGCAGGTACCTCCCCCATCTCGGAGCACCAATACACCCAGCAAAGGAGGCTCACCAATCTTACTGGACGGATCACTCCCACGACCAAATTCCGGTAAGAACATTTGGCGCCCACCGTGGGGCCGATCAGACCAAGCTCTCATCGGCCACCTGCATGGTTTCTACCAGAAGCCACATTAGACGAGCAACAGATAACACAAGCAATTCAACTACCATGGACAGCGACACCGCGACCCTGAGGCGATTGGTCGAACAAGTCGAGCAGATGCGGCAACAGCACGACGCCGACCTCCAGAATATGCGTGTCCAGCATGAGAATGACCTCGCAGCGATGCGCACCGCTAACGAAGCAGACCTAGCAGCGCTACGCGCCGAGAACGAGCGCATCCGCGCCCAGATCCCCCGGCATCGCCCCGGCCAACCACTGCACGACAGCGGTGACCATGAGGAGGAGGCGCATTCAGCCTCCCATTCCCAAGAAACCACCAAGGCACCACATTCACGGCCCGCCACGCACCGGTCTCATGCATCAACGCACAGATCAGGGCAGGGCACCAGCAGGGCCCCCACTCATGTCTCCGAGGGCCAAGAGCCTTTCCGTCGTCATCCCTTTGTGGACGGCATCATGGAGACTTCGTTACCCCGCGGGTGAAAGCCCCTCCACCTTGACCGCTACGACGGCACTACGGACCCCAATGAGCACGTCGACGCGTACACGACTCAGGTAAACCTTTACACTAACAGTGATGCTATACTATGCAGGGTTTTCCCGACCTCGCTTAAAGGACCCGCGCTCCATTGGTACACCCAACTACCGGCAGGGTCCATCGACAGTTTCGCCACCCTGGTGCGGCGGTTCACGGCACAGTACGCCACCAGCCGACCTCACCACACAACCTCGGCCGCCTTGGCCAACCTCAGACAGAACGATGACGAGCCCCTACGGGCCTTCATGGAGCGCTTCTCTAACATATCAGTCCGAATCCGGAATCTAAACCCGGAAGTCGCCCTACACGCCATGCTCATGGCACTGAAACCCGGATCGTTCGTCAAAAGCCTGTGTCGCGACGCCCCCCGCGATATGGACGAACTGCGCGCCCGCGCCGCCGGCTACATTCAAATGGAGGAGCACGTGGCCTTCCGCGACCAGGTTCGCGGTAATGGCCCCGCCAAACCAGAATAGGGCCACAAAGACAAGGTTAAAGTCAACAACGAAAGCCAATTCAAGAAGTTGGCCAGGATAAACAGAGCCGGGAGGTACGACTTCTACACCCCTCTAATGCCCCAAGAGTCCATATTCTAGAGGAAGCCAGTAACAGCAACCTGCTAGACCTCCCACCACCGTGCTGTCTTCGCACAAATGTATACATTATATCTACTATTTTAATATTAAATTGATAACATGACGTGAGTATGTTGACATGAAATGATATGTTGATGTGATATGATTTGGTTCCTAACACATATGACCAGGGATGAAACGATCGTTGGGTAAGTGATGCTACAGGGATGGCGTGCCCTTGGCATAGTGTGCGATGACTGAAGCAATTAACACGTATCACTTATGT